TCCTGGAACTCACTCTGTAGCCCAGGCTGGCCTCGAACTCACAGAGATCCACCTGCCTCTGCCTCCCGAGTGCTGGGATTAAAGGCGTGCGCCACCACTGGCCAGCAATAAATCAACCTTTAAAAAAAAAAGCGTGTCCGACTCTCCAGTGCCTCCACCTCCCTTTCTCAGTCTGGTCCCACACACGCCCACATAACCCTCTCGGTTTCTGATAAGCTCAATAGCATGGATGGGAAACTGAGGCAGGCTACTGAGAAATGTCTGGGCTGAGGTCTCATAGCCCAGGAAACTTGTGACACACACATGGTGGAGTCAGTGGCCTGCTGGCGCTCGAACGGCTCCCTCGGGGGAGGCGTGGGAAGGCTTGGCATCGGGGCACACACACCGAGCGTCCGATGAAGGCAAACAGCAGACTCGTCTACTCAGTAATATACCCCCCTCCCAGCACCCAGGCTGTGCCCCAACCTGGTGGCATCGCGTGGTTGTCCCTCGTTGGCGGGGCACGATGAGGATCTCTGGCAGCGCCTGTTGCTGGGTCCCCAGGCTGACTCCAGGTGGGCACTACGTGCAGGCCTTGGTCTGAGACAATTTCCTCGCCTCTATGGGCCTTTCCTACTGCAACCTGCCATCCTGAGCACTCAGGAGGATCAGGGAGGAGGGTGGCAAGCTGTAGGCTAGCCTGGGCTATGGAACAAAAGGATCCGAGTGTGGTGTCCTCCACCTCATCTTCCGGGCCTGACAATCCGGGGTCCTGGTGTCCCACCTGGACTGAGACCTCTCAGCACATCATGGGTATACAGCAGGAGTTTAATATCTGCCTGCCTAGCGGGTTGATGCAGGTCCTTGCTGGCTGTGCCCAGTGTTCATAGGAAGAATTCTAGAGTCTGTCTGTCACTGGATTACAGAGGCACTCCATAAACGTTCTCACAACGGTTTTAAATAGTTTAGGATTATTCTAAAAAATGTTTCAAGCCAGGAGTGGTAGCATCTTTAATCCCAGCAGAAGCAGGAGGATCTCTGAGTTTGAAGCCAGCCTTATCTACAGAGCAAGTTCCAGGACAGCCAGGGCTACACAGAGAAACCCTGTCTCAAAACACACACACACACACACACACACACACACACACACACACACACGGTTCCAGACAGTGTGAGGCTGGCCTCGAACTTGGTATGTAGCTGACGACGACACTTGAATTCCTGATCCCCTCGCCCCACCTCTGAGTGTCAGGATGACAGGCCACCCCACGGGGCTTCTGGGGTCCCGGCAATGGAATCCAGGGCCTTGTGCATTCTGGGTGCTAGCCATCCTCCTGCCTCAGGCTTCCTGTGTGTGTGGACGACAGGCATGTCACCGAAGCCCGTTTTACTGTCTCTTGCACGTGCCCAGGCTGTGACCGCTCCCGTGATGTCCCCGGGGTGGGATCCCCCTTTGCCCAGGTGGGGCTCACTATCTAATCAGCTTGAGGCCCAAGGTTGAGGGTGGGAGCGTGGATGCATCATCGTCCAGATTCCCGGAGTCTCAGCAGGCGGGCGGCTCTGCCACGACCTTGCGGGTCCCCGGCCCCGGGAGCCTGGCGCTGACCAATCCCGATGCACTCACTTGCCAGCCCCAGAGCTGCGGCGAAGCCAGTCACCAAGCCTGGCTGCCACGCTCGGCTGTGTGCCCTTGGGAGGGCGTGGGGTGTCACGTGTGGGCGGCCTGGCCTCCTTCAGCAGCTGCTGGGGACCTGTGCCCTGTGGCCGGCCCGGGGCTGCAGGTCTCCAGGGGGAAGGGACAGTCCAGGTTAATGTTAAACCAGCTGCAGACTCTGCCCTCCGGGCCGCAGGGCCTGATGCCCGGCCAGGCAAGCACAGGAGGCCCCGCCCCCGCCCCGCCCGCCCCGTCTTAACCCCACCCGGGCCGCTGGCTGCTCACTCCCCAGCTGGATGCCGACCTGTCCCCAGCGCGGCCATGGACACCCTGGGCAGGCTGCTCCTCCTGGCCGCACTGCTCCTGGCCCCTGCCGAGGCCCAGCAGGGTAGGATTGGGGTGCTGAGCGCAGCCCGGGTGGGGGCAGCAGCCGGGGCTGGGGTGGGGCTCTCCATTGCCTCCTTTCCTACTCGGAGAAACTGAGGTACGGAGAAGGGTGAAGGGCTGGGGGGGGACGGTGCTCCCCAGGGCCGGCCTTCCTCCCCAGCACCCTTCCCTCCGGGTGCCCCAAGCCCAGGCCAAGGCTCTTTCCAAGCTCTAAGCCCCTCCGGGCGACTCTGAGAGCCCCGCCTTCAGGAAGCCCCCTCTTCGCCCTGCGTGGCCCCGCCTCTCCCGCAGGCCCCGCCTCTCCGCAGGCCCCTCCTCTCCCGCAGGCCCCGCCTTTCCCGCAGGCCCCGCC